CAGTCACTTGGTGTCTTGAACGTGACTTCAGTGCATTCAGATACCAAGGAAACGTTTGTTATACTGCAAATATTAACTGTGATACATTGCTTTAAATGGCAAATTTATTCTTCTCTACATGCCCAGAAATCCATATTAAACAGAAATTCACATTAACAACTGAGCGACATAGTTACTATTTGTGAAAGATGGAGATTTAACCACAAAATGACATAGGTGCTCGGCAACCTTGCTTTTATATCGGCGTATAACTAGAATACAACCAGCTGAAACCAAAAGTTCTTAAAGAATTAGAGGAGAAAACATCGATTCACCAGGTTCAGACATCTTTACAATCCCGTCTTACTGGAGTGGATTTCTCCTTATGGGGCTGATTTACTGTGTTTTAATGGCTCACTTTCAGATTCATCCATCTCTGTTGTATTTTCAATCAATTCCAGCTAGTTTTATGAGACCGTGACAGTTCCAGTTGTGAAGCAAGAGCCTGAAATCTTGAACTCCCACACAAAACAAAACAAAGCTCTAACCATAATCGTGTGTCTCTGCAGGCTTCCTGTTGTTATGGGATATAATGAGGCTGTAGGTAATGGGGATGATGCAGCTAGCAGATGAAGGGCGGATTTCATGCAGAGAATGAAAGTAGATCAAGCTTTATTCATAAGTTTGACTGTTCAGAGGAAGATGGTCTGACCACTAACCTTTATTTGCTCTGCAGTCTTTATCAGAACAGAAACTTTGTTGTGTGTAAAAGAAACCTGTTGTGGTTTTCAATCATTACTACTTTTTTCTGTAAAGTCTGCAGAGCATCTTGTAAGATTAAAGCTTGTACTAGGTTTGTGTTTACTGCTGGTTTCTTCACTGGATTTCATAATTAATACCTTGTACCTATTTTTCCAGATTGGCGCCTATGACCAACAGATATGGGAGAAATCAGTGGAGCAGAGAGAAATAAAGGTTTGTTTCCTCCACACTTGCATGTTTTGGTTTGGTTTTTTTGCTTTTTGCCATTTTCATTTTCCTGTTTTTCTCCTTCTGGTCTCTGCTTATTCATCCTTCATGTCTTGTGGTTCCTTTTGCATTATCGCTTCAGTTTTATTCAGTTTTTATTCTGCCGTCACTTTTCCTATGTTTTCTTTTCACTCTTTCCTTTCTGTCCTCCTGGCTGTGTGTCATCTGCCCATTTGTCCTCACTTCACCTCCATCCTCCTCCTATCATCTTTTTCTCTCCCTCTCCAGTTTATTTCTCTGGTGAGTACACAGCAGGGAGGATGTTCCTCCTGTTTTCCCGCAGTGCATGTCTGCTCATCGTACGCTGTAGACAAAATAGACTCTTATCGGTTATTGGTTTGTTATCACGTAGTTTTCAGGGTCACAGCTGCATTCCTGTGACCAGTCAGTGTGGTGTGTTTCTCTCATCACAGACCTAACAATGTGCATCCTCAACATCTAGTTCACAGTAGCAATCTGCACATGTGACCTCAGTTACTGTAACAACCAAATGATGACACCTTAGTGCAGAAATTACTATACCAACATAGGAAGTTCAACCTCTGATCTCTTGACCTTTTTTAAATCGGTAAAGTTTTCTTGCATTTAAACTTCCTGTAGTTTTATTTTTTTATTGAAGGAGTTATTAAAATTTCATATGCATTGAATCGGCCTAAGATGAGAGTTTTGCTATCTGACAGATCTCTGCTTCTATCACCCTCCATCCCTCATATAGTACTTCTTAGAGAAACAGACTTTTTAATCAGCTCAGTACACACGCACACGCGCACACGCACATGCACATGCACACCACTGACCTTGGTTTATGTCTGTTAAGCAATGGTTTCCCAGAGTCTGCAGCTGCAGCAGGAAGTACAGGCTGCATCTTACTGTGGTACTGACACAAGATGCTCTACCTCCTGTTAAGTGTTAATTATACCGTTTATTGGCTCATATAAACTCAACCAATCGGCATCATAAATCTAGAGAAACTATGACGAGTCTCTTCATTCTATTTTTAGCAGAAGACGACAGCTTATCTCACTAGAGAGGAGAACTGCTCTTTTATCCCTATCACAACCCTGATCATAACTACAGTTTATTTAGAAACTGGAAAGAAAGTGTATTTTTGGATTACTTAATGATTTAAAGACCAATGCCATTTTATTTAATTGGTGTTAAGCCTTATTGTTACAACACAAACAAATAAATGCCTTTTGTCACTCATGAGCACAGTCTGTTCATACATAATAAAACATCAGATACAGGAGCTGAAATTGTTTTTTTTGTTTTTTTTAAACGATGTAAACTCTTATTAACAAAATAAAATTAGGATTAGAAAGACCTTACTTCTCAGTTGGGGTTGGTTATTAAACTTAACCAAACCTAGTGTGAGTTTGTTAATAGTAGAAATGTCTGGAGAAGAACCCAAGCTGCCCCCTGCTGTGCAATCAGGAAACTACTGTTACTACTGTTTGAGGGCTAAAAACAACTTAAAATGCAGCCAAGCATCAGCAACAAAAAAACAGATTGAAAAGCAGTGAGAGAAGTGGTGATTACTGAATGCAAAGAGTGTTTGTAAATGTTAGATTTAATTAAACTTTTGTTTTGTACATATTTTACAGTCAGTCACAGAAGCAATGTTTAGCTTGTGAAGATAAAAGGCTTTTCACAGCATGGAGATAAGTGAGCTGAGGCCAGGCGAGATGCTCGTGAAGGACTTTACTGCTGCAGTAAAGACTCTACCTGCATCTACTTTACTCTCTCACACACATGCGCGCGCACACACACTATATTAGCTTGTAAATATGTAAATAGTGCTATTTAAAGATAAGAGCCTTCACCGAGGCTCCATATCAGACCATTCGCTGATAACAGAACTTGATTGGCTGCTATGTAAATATTAGCATGAGCTGAGCAGATTCAGGTGCACCGCTTTATGTAGTATTTCACAGTACTCTTGGATATGTCTCACATTGAAATGTGCAGAATTTTAATGGACTTAAGGACAGTACTAGTGTTGATAGAAAACCAGGTTTCAGGTGATACAAGACTAAAAATTGTACTCTCAGAAAGCCCAAACTTAGATCCAGCTGATCCAAGTATAGACGAGGAATACATTCAGTATGAAGGAAAAGTGATTACCTGTGTTTTCCGAACTGCATGAACATAGTTATATAAAGACCAATGAACACCATACCTCCCTTATTTTTAAACTTATGGGCTTTTTCTAGCAGCATGTCTGGATTATGGCTACGTTTGAAAAGGAGCTGCCAGAAAACTGAGACTCCACAAAAGTGGAAAAAGATGCAGGAATCTGGTGACTGACTAAAAATAGGTTTAATGTTTCAGCAGTAATTATGATGTAGAGTAATCGGAGCTTCTGTGGCCGTCTTCCTAAAATGTTTCCAGAGATTTTGCGATGTGCACATTCTAGCCCTGAAAAACCAAACAGACGAGTGCTTGCCAGGAAAGATGTAAAAGGATACAGTAATCTAGAGACTCACTAGAGTTAAGTGGAAACGTGCAAGAGTATTCAAGAGTCTCCAAACATGTTTCCACGCACCTTTTCTGTGAACAGGCTGGTTCTTCCCAGGAAATCTGAGCCTCAGTGCCACCTTAGACAGGCCTGAGGATATTTCATAAACTTGTGGAGTCCTAAGTTTGAAAAACTACAAGCCTCAACTTTCCTAAAGATCATGACAGAAATGCAATTATTGGTCCTGTGAGATGAGTGGCTTTCCATGAAATTAGTCAGAACTGCTGCAGTAAAGCAATAAGGAGCCCAACGGTGAGCCAAGAAAAAGGCCGTGCACACAGAGGTGCACATGTTTACACAGCACTGTGACCTCGGCTGTGTTTATAGATCATAATAATTTAATCCAAACTGTTGTCAGGCTGCTTACACACTAATTCAGGCATTGTACTTAATCTCTATCTTTCTCACACACGCACACAGGGAGCTTTGAGCTGTGTTAATTTGCTGCCTCTGTGACAGAAAGGTCACACAAGAGATTCATGTGAATTTTATAATTTATAGTCGCTCATAATGTTTCGGTACAGTTTGTTATCTGAGCTAACAGATAACACACAAAAACAGACACACACACACACACAAATGGAGCGTATGCATCATAGGAGGATGTGACAGGCTGGCACAGGAAGTTGGCATGCCACAGGGGAGCGTTATTCCCAGGGTCATAAACTGAACAAAGCACCATATTTAACTACAGCAGTCAAAATGAGTAAGAGCTATTACACAGTTTGTAATGACAGGGCTGGCTTCAGGGTCTGAGAGGGTATATTCATCAAAAAAAGCTGCACCACAGCACAAGAATCAAAATAAACATTAAAGTGTAGATGCAGTTTTCTACGAATTAATGGATTCTTGTAAATGTAAATCTGCTTGATGTGTGTAGATGCATAAACTCTTAGAGTAGAAGCCGTAGCTGTGTGAGTGCACGGTGTGCCTCATCAGACACTGACCACACATGTGTTTACGAAGGCATAAAGTGCACGAGCAGCGTGTATCCCCGTGTGAGTATTTACATATTAACGATGTCTCTTTGAGTCTTTGTGTGGCGCTCACTCTGCGTCTGTTTCCCCCTGCAGGGCTTGAGGAACAAGCCAAAGAAGACGGGACACGTTAAACCAGATCTCATCGATGTGGACTTGGTTAGAGGTGAGGGGGTAAAAAACGGGGGCTTTCTGCTTAAGGAAAATCCGATAGACCCACTGCAACATTTCCACATGTGCATAAAAGACACACATGTGAACATGAGACGGGCAGCATGGCCGTGCCAACCTCCCGTCGCTGTTAATGCCTGCTCTTTCTTTCTGCCTCGATCCATCCGTCTCATATTCATCACATTTTCAATTATTCATCAGAAGAGTCAGTTTAATCCCCCTTGGTTAGGGACATAATCAAGGCAGAAACGCAGGCAGGGAAAAGATAAACGGAGTCGGGAGGGGGGGGATCTGGTGAGATAAAAAAGATAGATGAGGAGGGAGAGGGAGCCTAAAAAGGAAGAAGCGAAGATTAAAAGATTAGCTGAGCTCTAATGTGACTCCTGGATGTATTAACTGATGTGCTTTTCTGCTCACAGCAGAGTCATTTGCTTTAATTAGCTCTCATTAAACTTAGTGTGTGTGTGTTTGTGTTTGTTTCTGTTTTCTTATCGTCAGGGTCTGCGTTTGCCAAGGCCAAACCTGAGAGTCCATGGACGTCACTGACCCGGAAGGGCATCGTTCGAGTCGTCTTCTTCCCGTTTTTTTACAGATGGTGGATCCAGGTCACCTCCAGGGCCATTTTCCTCTTACTGCTGGCACTCTATCTGCTGCAAGGTTGGTGTGACAGTGTGTTTCTTTTTTCTTTTCTTTTCTCACAACCCACAATCTTGGCGCTCTCAGTGGAGTGGAAATGCAACTCCTAAGTAAACTGTGGGATGAGTTGTTTGTTTAGTAAGATGTCAGGATGAACACGCTCAACATCTGCAGTGGGTGTGCAAATAAATAAATCCTGATTATTTGTTGAGTGAGTGACCTATTGCTTTTTCTTTATCTCCTGTCATATATTTGCTCTTTACATTTAGATTTGATCATATTAAACATGACCAAACTTTCAAAGAATGGGGTTAGTGTATGTACAATAATCCTGATTTTTTTATTTTATTTATTTTTTTATTTTTTTATTCTTGGATATGCACAACATCAGAGGAGATGTCCCCTTATATGGTCATCTTATGTATCAGTCGCACAGACTTAGACGACTCCCTGGCAATCTGCTGTTACTAGAGAAAATGTGTATTCTCCAATTGGTTTGCAAGTGGTTGCCAGCTGTCAGTCACAAAGAGGGTGCTGCACAAAAACCTCATGATTACTTTGGTCTAGCAGATTGTTCCGCTTTGGTCGGTTCTGCGGCTCCTGATCGGTGTTGCAACATTGATGTCACAGCTGGGCTGAAGCCACGCGTGTATGATTGTATTGGTTTTTACTGCCATTTGAAAGAGATTCTGGGACAGAGGCTCAGAGATATGCAGATATAGAGAGGGAGAAGTTGCGATAGTTTGCAGAGCGTTTTTCCACAAGTCTCATGTTTTCAAAGTCTTTGCCTCTAGTTTTGTCTGAGTGGTGACACCTATGGTTCAGGAGAATAGGCACGCACATTTCTTGCCATGAACAGAGACGCCCCAGGTCTCTGTTATTGAAAACCTGTGAAGGGCTGCCAATCAGAAGAAAGTGGTTTTAAAGTGGTAGGAGCTACAACAGTCTGGAGGATAAACCAAGGCCTCTTATAAGACACAAATGTTCTGAACTGTGAATCATGCAAAGGTACTCCAGCAGACTCCAAGAATAAAAACATGGAGCTGACTATAAGGGTAATTTATTCCTCTTCTTTAGTCTTCAGTTTAAAACGAGGTTCACAAACTGCTTGAACAGCTTCTAAAATAATGTTTTTCCTAAAATGCACAGACTTCTATAAGAAGCACCTCCAGGTTGCACCCACAGACGCACACGCTCACTCGCTTTCTCTGCACAAACACTTTCACGAGCACTGAACGGTATTTTCCACCACCTACATCACGTTGACCTTTTCTACCCTGAAGAAAACACTGTTGTTTTTCATCTCTCCCTCC